TTTCATGTACTACCATCATTCACAGACTTGGTATCTTTAATAGCTAGTATGTATCTTATGCTGTTGCAATTTCCTAATATTTTTTGATTGGTGCCAGGAGTCTATGTCTCTATGCAGAAAGTGTACAGTCTTTGGACACAGATAATGTAGTAGAGTCTTGGTCCTTAACCTCTCTCACCCACATTTTAAAAAAATTATTTAAGAACTTTATTAACAGATGCTTGCAGATTGTTGACTTTTTCAAAAAATCAAGTTTGTGAACTTTTTATACCCTGAAGAATTGTTTTGATGCTTGCATTTTAAAAGTTCCTAACATAACAACAGAGTGGGAGCTAAGAAGATAGTGGCTGTTGCCATCTTTTGGTGTTTCTTTCTCCTAAGCCTTGTCCTCCTGTGGGATCAGAGAGCATTTCATCAGTTCAAAGAAGACCCCAGAAATCATAGCTATCACAGAATACATCTGTGAGATAATTCTTGGATTTGGGATTTGGTGATTGGAATTAGAAATAATTTGAAGATTAAAGAAAGGTCTATGAAATAAAGAAATATAAGATCAAAAGACACATTTTATAACATGCATTTTTCTGAGATAAAATCCAAATTTGTACCTATAACACATAGGACCCTTCCACACTTAACCCTTGCACCTGTCCCAGACCTATCACTCAGCACCCTAATGGAACTCTGTGCATCAGCCATAGGGGTTCACTAGTGGTTCTCAGGTGGTCCAATTCTTCTGACATCCCTCATTTACCTCCTACTCATTCAATATCCACCATTTGTCTGGATAATTCCAACTCACCCTTCAAAATTCAAGTTTCATTATTTGTTTCTTTATTCAGAAGAACTGTCATTGCCACATGCTCAAGGAACTAACTGCACAATGTATGATCTGTACTGTCTAGGAACTTCAAGTTGAGGAGGAGAGAAAAAATATTAAGAAATAATTATAGTATGTAGAATGTTATGTATATTATGATAATATATCATATATCTATTAATATTAAATTTAGCAGCCAATGAAAATACCAACAAAAGGAGTATCAGTAAGATGGTGGGCACAAGGTATTCCACCTTAAATTCAGAGTAAATAGAAGGTTGAGAGTTTGACCACCAGGGATATTTGGGATGGTTGGGCAGAAAGATAATAGGGCAAAGGCATAAAAGGTCAGAAAATAAAAATTGTTCAGATGATCTGCAACAGGGTCTAGATTAAATCTAAAAGAAAGGCTGTATTTGATGAATAAGATAGTGGGTTTAATATTTCAGAAATGGAACAGTTTAGATGATGACAAGACATAAGGAAAGGCCTTGAGGATAGGTAAAGAGAAGTCTAAATTTAGGTTTATATGTGAACTATCAGATTTTGAGAGTGGTGAGCTAACATATTCAACTACAATGTCAATTTGTTTTTTCCCTAACATTCTGACAGTTGTTGCTATACATATTTTTAGGTGCATATGTATTCATCATCACTTGGTATTATTTTTCCTTTACATTTTACCTTGAATTTTATATTGCCAGCTATTAAAATCATTTTTGTGGCTTCCCTTTGGTCATATTTATGGTACTTTTTTCAATTTGTTTCAGCTTTATCTATTATCTTATTTTTAAATGTGTCTCTTATAGATAAAATGTTACAATACTTTAAAAAATTCAATTTGAGAGTTTGAGAGAATTTCTTGATCAGTATATTAACTCAGTTATATTCATGCATTACTTTCTATTAGGGTTAATGTTATCTTTGTTCATGTTTTTAAGTTGCTATACTTTCTATTTATTTGCCATCTCTTTTCTATCTTCCATTGAAGTTTGTATTTTTCTTGTTTTTCCAGTTTGTTACTTCTAATATTTTAAAACACACTTCTATTATTACTTACTTACTTAAAATGTTACTCCTAATATTTTAAGCCATATAGTTACTTTTTTCTGTATCAATATCCTTATTTAGCAATATCTATGTCATACACATAAGTAAAAATCTACCTTAGTATGGTCTTATTTTCTTCTTGTTCTCACATATTTTTCTGTACTTATGGAATTCATGGATATATACACACATGTATGTACATATATCAACAGAAATACATATATAAATATTATATGTGTATATATATTTCTTATTATTTAGACTACAAAAATTTAAGTGTTATTCACTCATTTTTATATTTTATATTAATTTCATGGTTTTATTTATCTTCTGACTAGAGGATTTCCTGAAAGACTGTTTTTCAAGGATCTTTTTGCTATAAAACTTGTGAGATTTTATGGCTAAGAAAAGTTTTATTTCACCCACACATTTATAGGATACTTTGTTGGCTATAAATGTCTAGGTTCAAAGTTCCTTATGTTTAATACTTCAAATATCATCCCATTGTCTTCTTGCTCTCAGTGTTGTTGAAAAGTTTGATTCTCTTTCTTTAACCTTTGTCATTCTTTAAATCTGGTTCTTTAAACCTTTATTTTTAAATTTCCAAAATTTTCTAAATGTTTTCCATTGTCCTTAACCTTATACTTTCCATGCCTATTATCTCCATTTTGATTTTTGTCAAGCAACTTGCTTTGTCTTTTTATGTTATTATCGTAATTCATTATTTTGAGGATGTTTATTTTGCTGATTTGTAACTCTAGCTTTGTCTGATCTGTTAATTCTGTTTCATGTGATGTGAAATGGTGTGTTTGTCATCTTTTTTAAAACAGCCACTGGATTCCTAGGTTTTTAATTATGGAGATTACTGGAAGCTTTGGGACAAAGATTTTGGAAGTATTTTAGATCTTAATATCAATTAAGATAATGGGAAAACCAAAGTCTTCTATAAATCAGGGGGAAAGATAGTCATGTAGGCAGATGACAGAAATAAGGAATAGTGGTGTTAAAGGCAAAAGCAGAGCCTCCAAAGGAGGATGAACTTTCACATGTAACAAAAAAAAGCTGTCTGGAATAAGAGAAACCTAAGCATGTTTATAGTCAAAAGAGAAGAATTAAAGATAGAAGAGAAGGGACATTCTTCTTTCCTCAGATCTTTTCACAACTGTTCAGTAAAAATTTCTTGCCCATTTAATTGTGGAATATGAGTAAAACATCATGAAAAAAATTTGAGTCTAATAACAATCAAGAATTTACTTCAGAGATTGGACTAAACAAAAGAAACAAAACACACATATCCTTCTGTTATGCTAGATCCTTTAACGATCTCTCCATGTATATGGAATAACATCCAAAGTCCTGACCATGACTAGAGCTACATTCTCTAATATGGTACCCACTAGCCACATCCAGCTATTTATATTTAATTTTAAGTTAGCTCAAATTCAGTAACATTTTTAAAAATTAAATGAAATAAAAATTTCAGTTTCTCAGTTACGTTGTCCACATTTCATGTGCTCAGTGGCCATATGTAGTTAGCTGCTACTATCCCCTCTTAACTTTGTTCACTCTGCTCCATTATGACTGGCCCTCTCACTCTCAAACATGTTGAGCTTGTTTCTACATTAGGTCTTTGCATTTTCACTTCCTTTCCAAGGACCACCCTTACTCTTGTCTCTGTCGAAATAAATCCTTCTCTGACCACTTCCTCAAGTAACATCTGCTCCCCAAAAGCTCTATCTCCTACTTGCTTTAGTTTCTTCAGTCCATTGTTAACTCTTTACCTTCTTTTTTCTTAAGAATTTGGGTTCCTTAAGGGCAGGAACTTCATGCTGTTGACTACGATAGCTCCAGTTCTTATCTTAAGAACTTGCAATAAACATTGCTTAATAAATGTTTTTTAAATGAATGTATGAATAGTGTTCCAAATTTTTGTCATATTGCCTTTGGGAGTATATTAGAAGTCTCTGAACACTTGATTCTCTACAGTTGCCAGAAATCTTCCTTAGGAGATATCATCAATGGACTATAATGTATTTTTCTATGTCTGCCAGAGTTTACTCCTGGGTGTGTCTGTACATAGTATAGGGAATATGATGAGAGAGAAGAGACCTAGACCTAGAAGAGAGAGAGATGAGAGAGAGAAGCAAGCATATTTTTTAAAATATATGCTTTTTAAATTGTCCCCAGCTAAAGTACAGAAGGGGAGGACATCTATCTTAGAAAGGAGTTGAGAAAGGGAATAGAAAGTTGTCTGGGACTATAGAGCCAGATTTCCAGGGTATCAGTCCTCCCTATGCCACTCTCTAAATATTAATGCATAATCTGGGACAAGCTAGTGAACTTGTCTTTCTCTTGGTTTCCTCATTTATATAATGGAAATAATAATAGTACTCATTTCATAGAGTTGTTGTGAAGATTGAATGACCTGATACATGCAAAGCACTTAGAGTGGTGACTGACACATGTCATGCACTACATATGTGATTTGTATTGTTACTATTTAAAATGTCTATGATTATTTATGTTGTTGTTATTGCTTTTGCTATTATTAGTATTATCATTGGTCATTAAAGAAGATGGGATGATATGTCTCCATGTATTCTATTAATATTTCTAATTTGACCACAAATATTTGGATATTCACCTGTAAGATGCAATCAAACATTTTAAAAGAAAAATAAAGTTTGTAGGAAGTCATCTCTGTCCATGATAAGTATATGGGCTCTGCCTGGCTCGAGGCACTTCATGGTAACCACTCTTTAAGTAGGTAATGATTTTCAAGGGACCATCCCAAGGTGCTTAACCCAACTGTCATCTGTCAGCCTGTGGAAGCAAATGCAAGGAAAAGCAACATATCAAAGTGTCAGGATTACCTTATTTTCAGTTCTAAAACATTCTGGGTTGTGATATGCATATAACCTCAATTTAAATTGTCTAAGAAACTTTTAAAGATTGCTAGAATTTTTCTCTCTGATTCAAAGTGAAGCACAACTTTATCATTATGTACAAAATTCTAAATGTATTATATTTTGCTAGATGGAGGACGTTATTGAGGATATAATCGGTATGGAATCAAGTTTTAAAGAGGAAGGAACAGACTCTCCTATGCTAATGCAAAGAACAGTAAGTGTTTCCAGACCAAAGGAAGTCATTGAAACTGAAATAAATAGCTTGTGATGATAAAAAATAAAATAAAATTTGTTTGCTTAGTAAATGATGTTTTGTTCTGCAGTGTTGAATCAGACAAGAAAAAAGATGAATGTTAGAAAATATTTGTTGGTACAGAAAAAAGATTACATAATGTTATTAAGGAAAATTATAGACCTTGTACTATTATCTCTCTCTGTATCTATCTTTGTATCTGTTTAATTTCTATATACATGCATCTAATTATATATCTAATGTGCTATAGCATTTTCTTGGCATGATTTAATCTTAAGATTTTCTTTTTGAAGCACAGCATATATGAATACTTTCATAACATCATGACTAAATTTTGACGATTTACCATGACTAATAGCTATCTGATGCAGAGACTCTACACATTTTTAGAGGAAAGAAAAAGATTGCAGCAATTATAAATTTACTTCTAAGCCAATAAACAGAGGTTAAAGTTGTATTGTAAAGGGGTAGAACAGGCCTCGCCCTACTTTAAAGCATATAGAAAGACTTCTATGTTGAAATCAGTACAAATACCTGGAATAATATTCAATGAAAAGATAATGTCTTATCTTCCATTTGACTGCCATTGCCTTCTGATTGTTCATTTATGAATCACAAAAAAATGTCATATGTAAAGAGTGGGCAAGTTCTTTAGATATATTTTGAAGTATGATTGTTGGTTTGTTTGTTTATGGTTTATGGCCATTTAGAAAACATGAGAAAAAGAATATGAAAATTGTAATTGAATTATTACTTTAAATATTTCATTTTAAGAAAGTGAATTCTGACTATATTGAGTATTGTGAATTGTTAATCAATAAATCAAGGGGTTGGGCTATGCTATGATGGATGTTTTAAATTTAGGGCCTTAAGAAAAATATTGGTGAAAGTATCCCTTTTTACTTTATTAATTCTTAAATAGACTATTTAACGAGAGAAGTATCTCTTTCCTCATTTTCTGTGGCATGCAGGACCTTCACATAGAGCAAGTCACTAATACTCATATTACCTGCCCAATACCAGATGAGAGGTTTAAAATTCGGTTTTGGTTGTAGGCTTTGTTTTTCTTTTTTCTTTTTTTTTTAGGATGGAGTGACAACTCTTTCTACCTTGTCTCTCTTTAGATTTCAAGGAGCATAGTTATATGAAAGCTGACTAATTCTGAGTCTAGATAAATATGTTATTAATGCTAATTTCTCCCTGTCTAATTTCACAGCATGAGGATGCTATTTTTCTTAACCAGTATTCAACTTCTAGGTTTGAGAAAGTAATATTAATTTCCTATAATCTTCTCTTCCTTGTACATGGTACTTACTTCATTGAAATTATATACTGAAATATTCTCCTTGTCAAATTGTCTACTTGTTTTGTAGAGACTATGTAGAATGGACTACTCAGTAAAAATTAGTGGTAATGACTATCATGAATTTGATTTTGATACGCAGAATGTACTTTTTAAAAAATAGATACTACTGGCCTACTGTATTTATATAAGGAAATATCTGTTCCTGGCCAACCAGTGATCATTGAAAATTCTAGATCCACATATAAAACTAAGAAATCCAATTAACCAAATATTTACTAAACACTTATTATGTGCAAAGCATAATACTTGCACAATACAAAACTATAAGATAAGTAAGACAACACTTCACATGTAAAGAGTTGACATTGTAGTGGGACAGCATGATGAGTTGTACCTGAGAGGCAAGGACAGAAAGAATGTGGATCTGTGTCAAACACAGGTTCTAATTTAGCATTGTGTGAGTAACTTAACCTTTGCTTTGGTATTTCTGCATTAGGAGAATAATTACAAATATTGATCCCTGAGGCGGTTTTTAATTGATATCTTAGTAGACTACATGTGTATGTTTTAAATGCTCATCAGAGAGTTGTTCTGCAGTTCGAATGAAGGAGAAACCATGCTAAAGTGAGAATTTTTGGAAATTCTTGGGGAAGAGATGATATTTGAAATATAGTTATGAAGTGCTATCTAGTTAAAATTTTAAGAGATAGATGTGAAAGCAGAAAAGTTGCAAGTTAAGAGAACTATGTAAGGCAAAAAGTGATAAAAAAAAGAGAATGTATAAGAATAGCTGGTAGAATATAGGCAGAAAACACTGAAGGATTTTTATAGTTTATGTAGATAAAAGAAAAGACTTGTTAAAGTCAGAGGAATGCTTTGAGTAAGTATATTAGCTAGTGAACTTTTGGTTGCAGGTGGTATAACCTGACTCGTATGGGGTTTAAGCATGAAAGGAATTTATTGGTTCATGCCATCTAAAAATCCCTAAGTAATATTGTATGTGGGCATCCTTTTGTAAATTTGCCTCTGTTTTCTTCTGTGCTAGCTTTATTCTCAGCTGTTGAGCACACATTGTCATAGCCTATTCCCAGCCACGCATACACTTTTTTCTTGCTAACCTAGATTTTTTTAGACATCCACTTGTTCGCAAGAAAGAGGAAGTTTCTGATTAATTTAAACCAATTCTGTTGGCCCCATTTCCCTTGCCAGAAATTGTTTTAAGAATGGGCTTGTGCTACAATTCTGGCATATTGAGCAGATCACTGAGACCTGCTGGAAAGTTTTCTTCAGTCTATAAAGTAGTTTCAAGAAAGAGAAAGGTTTTGCCTGTCCAGGATATTTTCGCCTGTCCAGGACGGGACAATGTGACTTGCAGAGTTGCTGTAGTCATTTTCTTACCAAAGGGTAGATAAACTGAGGAGAAACGAAAGAAACAAAGAGGTACAAAGAGTCAGGAGATATTCTGCTTATATATCCCTGGAGAATTATTTGCCTATGGATTTCACATTATATAATTTTTTGTCCTTTATTTTATAAGCTAATTATGTCAGGATTTTCAGATTCTCACAGACCCATGCATTCTAATGAATACATTCAGTCAGGGTGAGCAATCTAAGAGAAGAAGACCTTCTTTTTACCCCCTTTTCCTGGTTAAAGCCCTGAGATAATCCCTTTTGGAGTAACTTTTGTCACATCTCTATCTCTAAGCCAGTTTTTCTGGATCTTGGGCCCACCCTAGAGCTGTGTCTTGAGCAGTATCCTCCAATAAATTATCTAGATTCAAAATGAAAACCAGAAAAACAGGAGTTGTTACCAAAGTAACTCCTGCTAAACAGGAGTTGAGCAGATTCTAGTAAGGCTAAATCAACAGATGTTCATCATGGTAAGCTTAAAAAATGAGGATATTTTATCAATAATAATAATTATTAAGCATTTACCTGCGATGTGACAGAGAATTTCTAAGTATTTGCATATTTTCTGTAGAAAATCATGTTATAATTTCTGCTGGTGGGAAACTTGGAAGTTGCTGAGAGGAAGCCTGGGCTACTTGTGGTGGTTCCTCAGATTAATCAGGTTGAATGCAGTGCTTCAAGGTGTTTATAGATCAAGTTAGCCTAGGTATTTTTGACCCAGCAATGAATGGTGAATGATTAGTCACTAGAATCTGAATAATTAAGCCAAAGTTATCCCTCAATTTCTATTTGGTCAGGAGAGTTATCCAACAGTCAATTAGTTCTTACCACAACAACTGCACAAACTGGACTGCAAAGAGACAAAGTGCAGGAAACGTCCACCCAAGTCAGCCGTGCTCTCGACACGTTAGCCTCCGTGTCTCCAGCTCCTGAGCATCAATGGTATTTTTCTCCTCCCCCTTTAAACCATCCCCTCACAGGGTCATAACCTAGATCTTGTTTTGACCAATTTCTCTATATTCATTACATTTATATTCCACACTTTTGACCATCGCGTTCTATTTTTTCAGTGCACTTAGTCTAGTGGTTTAGTTTCATTATTGTTCAAGCTTGATGAGACTCCAAAATCAATGGGTTGTTTTCAATAACTACTACTTCCCACTCACAGCATTTTAAAAATTTCATCTTAACCTGTCTGGAGTCCTTGGTCCAGAACTATAACCAATTCTCTTGTAAACAATCTTAACAAGTTCCCATTTCCCTTCATATTATTTTCCTGGTCAAACCCCATTCCCCATTAAAACCATTTCTTATCTTATGCTACATATTAACTTGAGCAGATGAATGGGCAGGATTTAACCACATTTCTCATGGTACTTACTCCAAATATAGTGCCAAAATTTCACAGGGGCAATTACCACTGCCAGACAGTACTACTGCTATTACCTGGTAAAATTCCCATTAATTGAGATGACTATTTAATACTGTCTCATCAATCCTCAGGTCTCCAAAATCCATTCTTCACTCCTCAGAGGATTTCCCTGTCATGACATGTTTCAGAGAGAAAATATATGCAATCAGATTAAAACTTACTCATTGAATTTGCAATGTCAGCTCTACTAATATTAGACCATCTGCATCTATTTTCATTTTTATGCTATCCCTTCTATTAATAGAATAATCTTCCTAGCACATAATCTAAAGTCAATCCTAGCTACCACTTGTGTCCAGGATCCCACACATTCTTTCTCTTCTAAGGACTTACCTTTAGGACTTACTCTATATAGGTCCTCCTCATAGGATGAGTATATGCTGATCTATTGGATTGTAAACATCAGCATTACACTAGTGTTTAATAACATCCACTAAAACCAAAACAAAACAAACACCTGCCTTTGAACTCATTTGCTTTCTGGCTACCCTGCTATTTCATGACTCCTCTACACAAAAAGTTCATTGCCTCTATTTTCTTCCTGCCTCCACTTCCTCACCTCTTATTCTCTCTTCTTCAATAGAGCTTTTGTCCTCACAATTCTAAAGGAGTTCTTAAAACCAATAGATGCAAAAGCCAATAACATTTTTTTTCATTCTTACTTGACTTGGCTTCTCTGTAACATTAGACATCGTTTACGACTTCTTTCTTCTTGAAGTACTCTCTGGGATTCTGTGGTACCATATTCTCTGGTTTTCTACTCATTGTATTGGTTCTTTCTCCTCTAACAGATGTCTAAGTGCTGAAGTGTGCCAAGGCTCAGTCTTCAGATCTCTTTTCTCACATATCTATACACACCCTAGTGTGATATCAACCCATCTCCAGTTTAGATATTGCCCCTATTGCCAGATTCATTGTATCCTACCACTTACTTGATATGTTTTGTGGTTCTAACAGACATCTTAAACCTAACAGGGCTAAAGGAAAACTCCTCCCTCTAAAAAATCTATTTTTGATTGATGTGAAATCAAAAAAACAGGACATAATTTTAGCTCTTCTCTCTCTTGCTTCCACACCCACATCTATCAGGATATTCTTATCATCCACATGCAAAATTTCCAGAATCTCACTTCTCACCATCATCATGTTCTATCATCTCTTACTACAGCTACAGGCTCTGACTTAGCTTCCCTGCTACTTTTTGCTCCCTTACAGCTGTTCTTCACATAGCAGCCAGAATAATCTTCCTAAAACAATAAACAGATCCTTTTCTCCATGCTTAACATTTTATTAATTTCCTGAAATACTCAGAATATAATCCAGACACCTTGTCACAGCCAGCACTTCTTTTTGACTTTAGGGCCTGGACTCAATAGTATTCTTCCTGCTGCTTGAACATGACAAACATATTATCATCTTAGAACCATGATACCTCCCTTTCTTTGTTTGGAATGCTTTTGTCCTAGTTCTTTGCATCTTTGTCACCTTGTCAGAGATGCTTTCCAAACTACCCTGGCTAAAACACCCCATGCCCTGACTCCCCAAATCAATATCTTATTTTATATATCCTCTGATACTTATAAGTAGAAAAGCAAAAATTATTTATTATTGTGTTAACCTATGTATTATGTGCTTTCACCTCTAGAATTTATACTCCTTGAAGACAGGGATTTTATAACTGTTTTTTTCACTGCTATGCCCCTGGAGCCTAGAATAGTGACCTATTTATTATTTTATTCTTAGTACCCAGCAGAGTGCCTAACATATCACAGATGCTTAGCAAATGTATATTAGATATATTACCCTAAAATTCTCACATAGTATTGAAAGTAATTGTCCCCATTATAATTCCTATTTAGGAATATTTTTAATGGGTAAAAAGCAACAGTAACAAGGATAAAGACAATAATAATAGCTACCATGTATTGGATACCTAAACTAGGTGGCAGGGATTGTTCAAAACACTTTTTGTGAAAAATTGCATTTAATATTCACAGCAAACCTATGAAATAGGAACTAAAATTACCTATTATCATTTTACAAATGAGGAAAGAGGCTTAGAGAAGTTCACTAACTTTCCCAAGTTCACACAGTTAATGAATGGCAGGATAGAGGTTTTAATCCAGTCCTGTATAGAACCAGGGCAACAATCCTACTCTGCTGTGTTAGTAGTCAAGAAAGTAGCCACTTCATACAACTGCAGAATCAAAGGATGTGAAGGGACCTGAAACTGATCTGATCCTCCGCCACACTCCAGCTGAATGATTGTTTAGTCTCTGAGTTTAGATCTGTCTATCTATAATTTCCACCCATTGGTCCTAGTTTCACCCCTTGTTTCAGAGACATGGTTGTTCATAGTAACTCATTTATTTTAACATATATAGGTATTTTTCAATCAGGTGTCTGTAAATGCTGGTGGCATTTGAAAATCTAAGTAAACTGTAATAGTTCAAGACCATTTCAGAGACGAGGAATGAGTAAATATTAACAACCCCTTGTGCTTGGTTGGAACTTGAAAGGACTGCCTAACATCAATGAACAAGCTTCTGTCAATCACAATCTAGACCAGATTAGTCTTAAAGTCCAAAGAAGAACCAAAGTTCACCTTAGTGCAGAAGTTTCTGTTAGTTTTTCTGCTTTTTGTTTCCAAGTTTAAGGAAAAGAAAATGATGAAGGAGAAAGAGAAAACCATTGCTATTGTGAAGGTTATAGACACTTCAAAGTTAAAACTGGTGAGCAAGTACATTTTGGAATTCTTTCAGTGTTTGGAGATGAAACCACCTTAACTACTGAATTTAAACTTTATAGACTTATAGTCAATAAAACAAGGTATGTAGAAATTGAGCTTTGAAATGCTTAGAATGTAATATGCTGTATTGCCAAATCTATTTACTTAAAAGATTGTTTTTAGTGTTCCCAACTATAGGAGAAAATTAGTCTATTTAGTAAAACATTATCAAAACTAATGTTTTGTTGTGACTTTTTTATCAAAAAGGTGAGGGTTCACACTGTTTGTTGCAGTTTTTAAATTTAATAATTACTTTTATTAATTTAGCATTAGATTATGTGCATATAAAATGTATGATGTAAAAGTATTTATGCTATCATTTTCTGTTTTATATTTATCTTTTCTACTTGCATTATATAAACCAGCTAATGAAGGACAAGGGATCTCCCAGCTCAACACATTATTTTTATTTAGTCATAATAGGACAAAAATAATAATTAATAACACACTGGGATTTCTCTGTTCAAAGTTTATCATTCAAACCTCATAGCTCTACTTTAGCAAAGAAAATAAGTTAAGAGGGAATAATCAATAATGTGTGTCCTACAACCAGAAAAATTTGGTTTATGGCATATAAAAGGGTAAACACCCTACAGGAAAGACAATAATCTTTCAAACACCAGTTTTTCATGTGTGCATACATTGTATAGTGTATGCGCACTACAGTGATTCTCTTTATACCTGCTTTAGCTGTTTTTATGTCTACGGTTATTCTAATAGTCTCATGCTCACTTTTACCATTTTAGGTTCACAGTGAATGTCTTCATGAAAAGCAAAAGGAGATTCAAAGAACGCAAACATTTCCCTTAAGTTCCCTTGAAACTTCGTCTAAATATATGATATCTCTTTCTCTTACACATACATAAGAATTAGGATATTTTTCCTGTTTATATCTATACTAAGAAATTATCTGGAAATATAATATGTCACTATATATAAGATGTTCTGTCCTTTTCATATTTATGAGATTATATATTTATATATATATTCATATACACACACACATATATGCAAACATATATTTCCAAATATTCTCAGCATTTACATAAATAATCTATTCTCAGTAACATGATAGGTATATGCTGTGGTAACCTCTCTCTTGTTAAGTGAGCAAAAATTAAGAATGATAAAACAATAATATAAATCAAATTAGAAAAATTATGAAAAGTTTATTAGTCCTAGAGTATTTGGGTGGAGAGAAAAATAAACAAGGCTGGTGTGGGGAAGAGTGTTGAAGACCAATTACCCTAAGTTGAAGCTTAGAAGGCAGATTGGATTTTCATGCTTATTGAAGTGGTGAGGAAATTTGAGGTGCAGAAAATAGCAGTGGCAAAGAGTAAAATTGAGAAAAATATAATCTAATGCCTTTCGTCCTTTTTGATCATTAAAAACAGCTACAAATGGTAAAGGCAAGGGCCCTTTCACAATGGGGTAAGGTAATTAAGAATCCAGCCTTTCTGTCAGACAGGCCTGGGTTTCAATTCAAGCCCTCTATGTATTTATTTATAAAGCTATATAATCTTGAGATAATTACTACATTTCTCAGAGCTTTAATTAATTTATATTTAAAGTGGTAATTCTACTACCCCATAGGGTTTTTATAAAGGTTACTTGAGATATACCACATTTTATTTATATGTTCATCTGTTGATAGGCATTAGGGTTGTTTCCATCCTTTGGCTATTATAAATAATGCTAATGTAAACATTGCTGAAATGATCTGTTTAAGTCCCTGTTTTCAATTCTTTGGGGTATATTTCTAGAAGTGGAATTGCTGGATTATACACTAATTCTCTATCTTTTTGAGGAAATACCATACTGTTTTTCACAATGGCCACAATATTTAATATTCCCACCAGCAAGACACCAGTATTCTAATTTCTCCACTTCTTCACCAGATTTGCTACTCACTCCTCTTTTTCTCTTTTGTTAGTAGCTATCCTAATGAGTATGAAGTGGTATTACAATGTGGTTTTGATTTGCATTTCCCTAATGACTAGTGATGTTAGGCATCTTTTCACGTTCTTATTCACTGTATAACTTCTTTGGAGAAATGTCTATTCAAGTCCTTTGCCCATTTTGTAAATTGGGTTGTTCATTTTTTTATTGTTGATTTGAAGATTTTATTTTTTAAAAATTTTTATATGGTCTGTATATTAATCTCTTAACAGATATATGATTTGCAGATTGCTTCGTCTATTTGTGGGTTGTCTTTTCACACTCTTGATAGTGTCCTTTGTTGTACAAAGTTTTACATTCTGATGAAGTCCAATTATCTATTTTTTCGTCTGTTTCCTGTGATCTTGATATTATATCCACAAAATAATGTCCAAATCCAATGTCATGAAGTTTTTACCCTATGTTTTCTTCTAAGAGCTTTATAATTTAATTTCTTAAATTTAGATATTGGATCCATTTTGAGCTAGTTTTCTTTTTTTTATTGGTGTAAAGTAAGAATCTTAACATCATTCTTTTGTATGTTGATATCCAGTTTTTCCAACATAGCTGTTGAAAGAGTGTATTTTCCCCATTGAATGGTTTTGGTGCCCTTGTCAAAAATAATTTGACCATATATTTGAAGGTTTATTTTTGAGCTTGCCATTATACTTGATAGGTCTATATACTCATTTTCATGTCACAATCACACTGTTTAGATTATGGTAGCTTTGCAATAAGTTTTGAAATACAGAAGTGTGAATTCTCCAACTTTGTTTTTCTTCAAGCTTGTTTTGGTTATTCAGGGTCCTTTGAGATTCCATATGAATTTTAGGACAACTTTTCCTTTTTCTTTAATTAAACTTTTTATTTTGAGGTAATTGAAGATTCACATACAGTTGTAAGAACTAATACAAAGAAATCTTTTATATCCTGACCTAATTATAACATCTTATAAAACTATAGTACAATATCATAATCAGGATATTGACATGGATACAGCTAAGATGCAGAACATTTCCATCAACACTAGAATCCCTCTTGTTGCCCTTTTATATCTACACCCACCTACCTCCCACCACAACCCCTCAACCCCTGACAAACACTAAAATATTCTTCATTTCTTGAATTGTGTCAACTTTAGAATGCTATATAAAAATAGTCAAATAGAATATAATCCAATCCTTTTGGGATTGGCTTTCTTTCCCCATCAGCATTCTCTGGTGATTGATCTAGGTTGTTGTGTATATTCAAGGGTTGATTCCTTTTTATTGCTGATGACTACTGCATGGTATTGATGTACCAGCATTTGTCCAACAGTTTTCCTATTTAAAGACATCTGGTTGTCTCTAGTTTTGTGTGATTACAAATGAAACTGCTATGAACATTTGCACACATATTTTTTAACTTAAGGTTTCATTTCTCAGGGATAAAGGTCCAGGATTTTTCTATTTCTCCAAAAAATGCAGTTGGGAATTGAATGATGGTTAGTTTATTTTAGTTTATTTAATTCAAAAAATTAATATACTTTTCTCATTTTATTATTTAAGGCTATACATTTCTTGTCTAGAGCATTCTTTTGTCATATCCTGATTTTTTTTTTGCACATAAATGTCTATAGCAGATTTATCTGTAATAACCCCAAACTTGAAACAATCCAACTGTCCATCAATAGGTGAATGGATGAAGAAATTGTATATACATACAATGGAATACTATTTAGCAATAAAAGTGAGATACACACTGCAACATGGATGAACTGCAAAACTGCAAAATAGTTAAACCAAGTGAAAGGAGCAAAAAAAATCCATATTAAATAATTATATAAAATTTTAGAAAATGCGAACTAATCCAAAAATGACAGAGAACAGGTCAGAAGGTGCCTGAGGATTTCATTGTTTGGGGAGTGGGGGCATGAGAAAGGTAGAAAGGAGCAGAGGGAGGAAAGGATTATAAAAGGGTACAAGGACACTTTAGGGAGTGGTAGATATATTCATTACATATCTACATATGTTACATATGTTGAAAAATAAAATTATATATATTAAATATATTTAATTTATTATATGTTGATTATACCTCAATAAAACTGTAAAAGTACACACAAAAATAAAATTTAAGGAGAAAATTACAAATGAAGAAAGAAAAGAACTGACATAATAATAGATAACTTAGTGTATCTATACATCATCTTTATAATGTTATTGTTAGAAAGGCAACATAATATTGTTGCTCAAGAGTTGGCAAGTAACCTTTCCATTATAATAGCCAGATGTTTCTTTATGTGTGTTTTCCTTACCTTTATTTTTTATTTTTAAAATTCCATTATGATTTCATCTTTACCCTTGAATATTTTAACATTAAAAAAAATTTCCAAATATTTTGGCACTCTGACACTCTATGAAATGTGTTGAGGGTTCCTTTTTTAATTTTTTTATTTATTTCAATAGGTTTAGTGGATATAAGTGTTTTTTGCTACATGGTGAGTATCAAGGATTTCTTTTGGTTAAGAACATAATCAATTTTTATATATATTCCATATGTACTCAAGAAAACTGTATTCTCTATTTTGGCAGGTAGAACTATATACATGCCTATTAGGCCAAACTTTTACGTTTTTTTTTTATATATATTTTTAGTTGGTAAATTAATTTATTTCTATTTTTGGTAGAGACGGGGTCTTGCTCAGGCTGGTTTCAAACTCCTGACCTTGAGCAATCCGCCCGCCTCGTCTCAGAAAGTGCTAGGATTACAGGCGTGAGCCACCACGCCCGGCCCAAACTTTTACTTTTATTGTTCAAATCTTCTATAAAATTGCCGATCATTTGGACTTTTAAAAAATGAGGAGAAATGTGTTAAAATATTCCTCTGTAATGGTGGATTTATTCATTTTTCCTTGCAGTTCTAAACATTTTGTTTTATGTACTTAGAGGTTATTTCATTGTGAGCATGCATGCTAATAATTATTAAACCTTTTTGGAAATTGAATTTTTATTAAACAGTAGTGCTATTTATCCTTACTACTTTTTCTAATTTTAAAATGAATTTTCTCTAATATTCATATAACTATATTAATTTTCCTATGGTTATGATTTACTAGATATATCTTTTCCCATTCTTTAACTTTCAACCTTTGTGTGCCCTTTTACTCTGTAGGTATGTCTTGTAAGCTACTTATATCTAATTACTGTTTTTTTATTTAATCTGTCAACCCTTTAGCAGGAGAGTTTGACCTATTTACATCAATTATTATTATTGATATATTTTTATCTGCTTCTCTCATCTTTATTTATTATTTGTCTCTCATTTTTTATATGTTTCTCTTTAATACCTTCTTACCACTTTCACATTCTTTGGTTTCCAATTGTGCTGATACTATTTAGATAGTAATACTGAGTTATACGATTATATATTTCATTTTATCTTTGATCTTGGTCCCCCCCCATTTTTATTCCATAATCACTTTACCAAGCTATTTTATTAACCTTGTTTAATATTTTGGGAGCATATGCTTTAAATATCTTTTCATATTTATCCAAAATTTTTTTCAATGTTAGTCTTTGTGGGGATAAACTTTCTTAAGCATCGTATACTTAAGACTATTTTTATCATGGCCTCATATGTAAATGACATTTGGGCTAGATATAAAACTCTGTGTTTTATGTTTTATTATTTCAGTATTTTAGCAATACTGTTTCATTTTCTTTTTTTCATTTAATTTTGCTATTGAAAAATCTAATGTTAATCTGATTCTTGTTCCTTTGTATATAATGCTTTCTCTCTTTAGGCTTTTAGATTTTTTTTTTCTCATAGTATATTCTTAAGTTTCAAAATAATATGTTTAAGTGTAGGTTTTTCCTATCTTTCATTTTGCCATTTGATAGACACTTTTATTTTTAAATCAAAATAAAATAATTATTACATAAGATGAAGTATACTGTAGTGTTTTATTTAGCATTAATTCCTAAAATACATTTACATTATTTTAGAAAGTATTTCCTTCCTTCCAATTATATTTTTCTCTCCCTCTAATACTTCCGATATTTGTATTTAGCTCTTGCAATTCTATTCTCCATATTGTTTAGGTTTCCTTTCATAAGTTCTATTTCTTGGTCCTTTTCTTCATCCTCCTGGGAGATTACATTATTTTGGTTTTATATTTTACTAATTATTTTATTCCATTTTCAGTATACCTATTATGCTATTTTTTCACCCTATAGTTTTTCCCCCCAAAATTATATTTCGTATATCTCCTATTTCTCTTTGGTTACTTTGGTTATTGTGTTTATTTTTTATTGGTTTGTATTATAGATTATTACAAATATATTCCCTTATTTATTTTAGGATAATTTAAAAAACTTAGTTTCATGCACTTTTTTATTTTTTTTGCTTTTGATGTTAATTCTAATGCTACATGTTGTATTATTTTTGAAACAGTTAATTTTTTCAAATGTTTTGATATTTTTTTCCTGTGAGTTCATTTTCTTTAGGAAATATTAGATACTATGGATAGCAGTATGTATGTGGGAAGGTCATACCCAGTCGACTTCACTTCCTATTACCTCAGTAGTGGAGATGTGAATAAAATCTTGGGTGAAGAGCCTCAGATACCAAGAAACTGTCAATAACTCCTCATCTCAAAGCAACTTCTCAGATGAGGATTTTACTTTTTTCTACCAGGGAGGGTATTATAGAGAAGTATACTCTACCTTATTGTATATATTTTATAATAAATTCTTTATTTTATGTTTTTTAAAATTTGTGAGTTTGTTTTTAAAAATAATATGTTTGTCTATTGTCATGTCAAATGTTTTGCTTTACTGAGAAAGCAATCTCTTTTGTTAACTGGAATAAACATTTCTTCATAAAATATCTAACCAGTTGCCTACTGATCTACAAAATAAAATTAAAACTTAGACCTTATTCCCTAAGTAACATATTTTTGAAAAAGGTAGATATAAGTTTTCTTTGTAAGCTATTTTAGGTATGTATATAATCTTTAAATTTTCACTAACATTGTACTCTTAAATCCTGTAATGGAGAAAAGGCACTTTAGGTTACATGAAGTATATAACATACTTTGAAATTGAAACCCAATTGTTTAATGATATTCAAAAAGTGATTAGCCATTTATATGAAATAGAGCAGCACTACAGCATAAAATTAAATAGGATATTAATCATTGTGCTTTAGGGCATAAATTAGACAATAACTAAGATCAGGAGAAGATGTAATATAGCTACAATTAAGCAGGATTAGCTTCATTATCAGAATTTCAACCCCATTTCTAAGGAAAAATACACTGGGTACTATCTAACCAGGTAACATGGAAGAAGTGAAGTGTTATAGTTAGGACACTCCTTCATTGTTGCAGTGTATCTGTAATGTGACTCCTTTTCTTCCATAACATTTCTGCAATTTGCCATTTCTGTATTGAAATCCATCTGAATTCAAGCTCTTCAGAGGAAAAGTGCCCTTTCCTTAGTTCCTTCCCCCTCACTCCCTTTTTGTTCAGTGTTTCCATTATGTTTCTCAAAGGCACAGAGAAAACATAATTCAGGTTGGTGATGCCTCAGTTCATAACCAACAGGCTTTTTAAAAATGACCTTGAAAAATTTGTACTTTAAAAAATAGGACTAAATGATTCACATCTTAGGGAAATACCTGCTTTTTGGATTTCTTCCTAATTGTAAGTATCTGATACTAACACATATCTTTCCAATTTGGTCAACTTTGCCCTTAATTTGCAGATTAGGAAATTAAGAAGCAATAAATACCTGACCCAAGTAGCTCCCTTCCAAGATCCATAAAGTAAAAATACATTTCAAAACAAAGAGTTCATATAAAATAAAGGATAAAAGTGAGGAGTCCTAATAGGGTGAATAATTTAAAAGATCAATATGTGAAAATGTACATTTGACTATCATATGCAGTCTAGCATGTTCTTATTGATATACATATAAACATATATTGGATGATTTCAACTGAATTTTCAAATTTTTTCCTCAGAAATAATACATTTGTTACATATACTGTAATGGATTACTCCCTCAGAAAGTAATTTTGGTCATAATATGTCCTTTCTTCATATTTATTTCCAGTTTGATTTTATAATTATAAAAGAGTCCTCTCAGATTGAATTGGAGTTGTGCAAAAAGTGCGAATACAAAATTAGATTCTCCATAATAATCTTGTTATAGATTTGTTTGATTATATGTTTTGTTTCTAGTCCTTGGGGAAAGAAAAAACTTGCTTCTTACTCAGCTTTTGGTTTACTGCCCAGAAATGGAATAAAGATGCTTAGAATGAAAATATTTTAAAATTTCAAATCCTACATTAGAAATGTAGCTTGTTCTGGAATAATCAATATTAACTTGAAATGTGGATATTATTCAAATTTAATTTTCTTGGGAGATCTAATCAATAAGCCCATTTTGAATAATGAATTGGTACAATTTTGAATTGTGTGTAAAGCACCTTAGTTTTTCTGAAAAATTGTTCCCAAGAAGTAGTTCAAGAATTGCAGTGTTGCTATAATTGGATGCACCCTATATTCACTGGAGGCAAAAGTAGTTTTAGACTACTTTTGGTTACCAGCTGGGATATTTATAATAATCTAGAACATTTAGTGTACAATGAGAAAAATGATGCCTTCCAGGAAGGAAAGAGTTTTCCATTTAATTAACAGTGTAAAACACCTCTTGACTGTGAGTTGCTGGTAGCACTGATGGTATTAAGAAAGATTTCATTATACCTAATTTGTGGTATGCAATGAACTTTTCAGCTTTGCAAAGATGTGTATTGATTTTTGTCCAAAATGATATTTTTAATTGTGTTCATTTATAACCAGGCCATATGCTAGATCAAACTTCTATAACTTTGTAAATATTAATAGGAATTTTCCTTCATACATGAATTGATTTCTCTTTTTGTTTAAATATAAATAGCTTTTTTCAGCATATCTTATCTACAAGCCTTCTATAATGTATTTAAAAATAGTGCATATTCATCTCTTGTTTAAAATTAAATACATATATATTACAAATTATTATTAACAAAGTGGGAAATTTAAAATGGAGAATATAAAATGTACAATGAAATATACCTGTGCACATATAACGTTTAATTGATATTTTCTTCATTTTTCTCTAAAGTTATCTGGAAGTATTTTGGATGTGTATAGTGCCGAGAAGGGAATTTCACCAGTTAAGATGGGACTTACAAGTGCTTCCTGTCCAAGTAGTCTACCAATGAAAAGAGAAATTACAGGTAATGTTGCCTGTATAGTTTTAGCCTTTTTTATTTTTATCAACTACATAAGATATAAGACATGTATTATAATGCTAAACAGAACATTTAAAAAGATTATTTAAAGTAGTCAGTTAAAAAGGGATACATTTAGAGAGTAATTTCATCATTTTTCCTATAACCAAGCAGCAAGATAATGTAACTTATAGTTTAACTGAATTTATTCATTATTTTAGGAATTGAACAAAATATACATGTGGTTTACATACATGACAATTTCACTTAACATAGGATCATTTTGATATTGAATAGATGAAATATATTCACACAGTTGCAAAATGATATACTAAATTAGGGGAATTCGTTTATTCTTTGTATGCAGAATTTGATATGAAACAAAACTTCTTGGTTTACATAGATTTTTCCCTATTTAGCTTTCTTTATAGATTTCATATTAGACATGCATTTAACCTTCTTAACAGGCAAAAAATCCTCAATTTTCAATACTTTCTTTCAAAATTTGTACAAGTCAAAGGAATTATAGGGCCATAGTTGAATTCTTCCAAAATATAGATGAGAAAGTCCAGTTTCAGAGGAGTTCTTTCCCCAAAGTTGTACAGCAGGTTACAGACATAAATGGATCAACGTAAGTATTTCCTGACTTACTAGTCTAGTGTTAGTCCCTCTATAAGAATAAAATAAAATTCATTTGAAATTTCCATAGCAACTCTAGTTTGGAGCTCAAGCACTGGTCTTTAGTATTTTACATGGTTAGTAATAACACTTTAAGCCAATATAATATGACCATTCTTGTGGCTTAATCAATAACTCAAATATGTCTATGCATTCAATTATTCAATTAAAATTAATGAATATACTTTTAAGTAAATGCATTTAAATAAGATGGATTATTTTATTACTTATTTTCAAAACTATAATAATTCTAATAACACCGTATTAATTATTTCTTGCTGTATAACACCAAATTACCCTGAAATTTAGCAGCTTCAAACAATAAATATTTATTATCTCATCCAATCTCTGAGGAGTGAATCCAGGAGTGGCTTGGTGAATTGGTTCTGACCCAGAGTCTCTTATGAGGTTATAGTCAAGAGGTCAGCCAGAGGTACAGACACCCGAGACTTGACTAAGGCTGGAGAACAGACTCCAAAGGTGGTTCACTGGAGGTCTTGCAAGATAGTTGTCATGTTGGCAAGTGGTTCTCAGCTGCATAGACCTTTTCATAGTGTTGCTTGACCATCCTCATGACATGACAACTGGTGATCTAAGAGACACCAAAATGGAAGCTGAAAATCTCTTTTATGATCTATGCTTGGCAGCCATATTAGTCATTTCCTTAACATGCTATAGGCTTCACAGGTCAGCCCTATTCAGTGTAGGAGGAAACTACCAAGGGTGTGAATACTACGAGGTCAGAATCGTCGTGGGCCATCTTGGAGGCTGCTGACCACAAATGCAACCACACAACACATAGAAGGAAGTGTCATTTACTGGGAGAGAGTGTGTGGAGTTGTTTCATAAGAACAGCTGGGAAATGTAGTTAGTTCCAACTCTTGGGATATAGAAATCATAACTATGAAAAATTTAGGTTGGAATAATTTCTTTATGAATCTCAAACTTCTGAAAATAATAACAATGATTGAAGAGTTCAATATTTTCTGTGCGCTGTACCTCCTTTATCAGGTAAGTACTATATTATATTCATTTTACAGTTAAGCGTCCTGAAACGCAGGGAAGTTTGGTAATACATCACATGGCTATTAAATGTAGGGCTAGTATGCAAATCCAGGTTTTCCTACCTCAGAGCCTAAAGATTTTGCTAGTGCCTCTTACTTAAAAGTACTATGTTCCAAATTCCAGAATATTTGCATCAAAAACATTGTATTATTTTGGAGCAAGTAATATTGTATTTTCTGAATTATGGTGCCTGGAGGGGATTTAAGGTAGAACTAAGCAGTGCTTCAATTATTTTCCTTTTGATTAGAAACTGACACTAGAGCTTTGGCAAAAGAGAGACAGAAAAAGGACAATCACAATCTCAGTGAGTATATGTTTTTTTCCCATATAAAATTAATTAATGTAAGAGAAAATGCATAAGGATTAAAATATATGGTCTTTTATTATTATTCTGTTAAGTATTTAGGGGTCAGATGACCAAAATTAATGGGACATGCTCACAACTTGAGCTATTTTGGGAAATCTAAACAATGTGAACTCTCAGAAAAGCTATATATTTTCACAAAGTGAAACATCCCAAATTCTCTCCTTGATCATTCACTCTCAACGAGGCTGCCTGTGACTGAGATGAGTGCATTCAGTTACATTTGAACTCTATTGTGACTCATTGACTCAAAGGTTTAAAGAGATAAAAGTGACTTTAGAAAATGTACACCATTTAAATAGTAAGAAACATAACTCCAGGTCCTCATTTTTCTGTGTCAATTTGCTCTTCCCTTCCTAATGATAGGTTATCTGAAAGGCATTGCTTATGCTGTAATACTGAATTTCACCCCTGGAAAAAAGAAAAGGCTCTGGTGCTTTCCTAAGGGTCAATCTGACTCTGATAATAGGTCATATGAGATGGAGAAATGCAAGCAAGAGAAGCAGATTAGCAGCAACGCTGAGCTTTAGAGTGCTTGGTCATGTCTTCAGTGCTTAGCTGTCTTAAGTGAGCTTGACTAATTGAGTACGAAGGCTTTTTGTTCTGGGAGCCAAATCAAAAACTGAGAAAAGGGTAAAATGAAATAAAAATAAATGAAAATTTTAAATCTCTAAAACTAACCAGTAATTTTCTTCTATATGATTAACTGAAATTGATTCTACAAGTACCTTTGAAACCTGCATGTATCCCAGTGATGAGAATTTGCTGAGTTTATAGAGGAGAGAGCTGGCACATGGTCATATCAGTCCTTAGGGAAATGATCTGATTATCATATCCCTTAGTGGCAGAGCAGACGACTTTGGTTCAGATTAGGAGGCAAGTAGAATATGGGTAGGGAGAGCTAACTGTAAATAGAAGGAATTTGGACCTTTGGGAGCTATGGACTTCTATCCTAATAAGTCTATTAATGATGATTGACTTTGCTTCTACCTTCTCTGCTGTATGTCTTTAGCTTAAACAACCGACCATTTAACATAGAGTATGATAGGTGTCTGGTTTGTCCATTGTCAAAGTGTTTTCTAATCTGAATTCTCTTGCTATGTCATCTTGCTGTGGGGGAAAATCTGCACCAAAACATTCGTGTTATAAAGGGGAAAATCAGTATTGAAACATTCATATTATAAGATTTTATATATATAATGAATCTAGAAAAACCCTTAAAATTTGTGAGGGTCATGACAAAGTACAAAGGAAGTTCCACTTACCAGACATCTATATATGTACAATTAAGTATGTCACATCCTTCCTAAAGACCGGAAGGGTGAGTTTAGAATTCTTTGCTTGATGTAGTTCAGTGTGGGGAATTCAGGGCCGAGCAATGCTAGCTCTCAGCTTGCAGCCCACCTCTCTTTTCTCCCCAACTTTTATTCCATTCTGCACTTCAAGGAGCCTCAAACATGAGTGTAAACACCTCATCCTGTACATTCAAGCTCCATACACAGCCCTGCAAACAACTGCCCTTTGATTATGTCTTGGGCCTATGGTGAACACGCTGGTGTCATGTTCCCCCCTGAGGTGGATGGACTTAGGGAAGTGGCCTGCACAAGCCCTGGGGGTGGGGAGGAAGGCATGAGGGAGGAAATCATTATATGATGCCCAGAGCATAGCTTAGAAGGGGTTCCCTTGGTCCCCTTGCTCAGTGGGGAGAGACATGGCCAGAAAAGGCAAGAGTGAGTTCTCTAAGTGTGGATCAGGGTTGGGGCCTCTCTTGCTTGGATCTAAGAACAGGATTGAGTGACTATGTCAAAAACTTTGCAAACAGTAAAAACACATATAGTATGAAATACTTTAATGATTTCTTAAAATTTGACTTCTTTTCAAATTACTAGTACTAGATAGGGGCAACATTGGGGAACCAAATTTCTCATTATTATTAGTCGTTAGAGTCCACAGACTACAATCTAAGAAGATTAGAGAAGAGGTTTCTGCAATTCTATATACAGTACATTTAAGTAACAGATTTTAAAGAGACATTATAGGAATAAAATAATCCCTTACTTTGAGATAAAACTGTGAACTTCTTTCATAGCTGTTCTTTATCTTCTGTTTAAAAGTCTTGTTTATAATATGAATTAATATGTGTGAACATAGAATCATTAATACATTCTTGTTGTAATATGTAGCTTTACCTTTGTTTATTTTCTCTTCAGTGTTTTTATGTCATGTCATTTAGATGTTTTTATGTCATTTAGATGTTTTTTAATTACATGTACAGGGAAAACAGCATTGGTGAAAGGGAAAGTAAAACTCTCAAAAACCAATTGTATTCTGATTTTAGAGGGATGCCAATGCATTATTCCTAAATGTCAGATCCATTCACAGTAATATGTTTCTTAGAGTAGGCTCACCAAGACAATTGATATTCCTTGTTTCCAGTAGGAGATCTTAATTTTCAAGTGTGTACTATACAAGTATTTTCTAATATTTTGAAATTATGTTGTTCTTCTTCATAGCCTTTTCTATATTCATTCCCTTGAAAGCTTTAATTTGTTATCTATTAAAAGTGTTACATATAAGTGTATACTATGGTTCTTGATATTAGGAATATAGAGTAGAAGGCTGCTCTTAGAGAAGAGTCGATATAGAAAATTCGACTGTTCCTATGATGTCTAATGCTAAATGTCATTAAACTTTCGCTATATGATGCATAAAATTGCCATAAGCAATGCACGGAAATGCAAACATGGTAAACAATCTCTGAATAAGAATCTATATCAGTAGTTCTCAAAGCATTGGCCCTACATAAAGAGCACCAGCATCACCTGAGAACTTGGAAATGTGCACTCTTGCCTGTCCCCCTCTCACCCTCCCAATCTACTAAAGTAAGAATCTCTAGATGTGCAGTACACATCTATTTTAATAATCTCTTTGTGGAGAGTATATGAGAAGAGTAAAGCATGGTGCATGACCTCAAAAGATTACAGTCCTGATGGACTAATAAATTGTCCATGTGTGAATAACAATCAAACAATAACATGTATATGATATATACTTGAATACATTTATAAACACACACATTTCAGCATGAGTAAATATTATAGCATTTCCAAGAAAGAAAAAAATGTTTTGCAACAAAATGTTTCTAAAGCATTGTAAATCAGGTATTTACAATTCTAATATTGTAACTTTTACATTTTTCATTTAGAATAAGATACATTTGAATTTTTATTGTATGGTTGAGAAGTATTTTCTTTGGACTAAATGAATTTATTTTTTTGCTCCTTGTTTTTAAAATATTTAATAAGAAAGTTTACAGCTGACCAAAAGTGAACTGTTCATTAATGAGAATAATCAATAATATTTCTTCTTTAATAGTTGAAAGAAGAAGAAGGTATAATATTAATTACCGAATCAAGGAGCTTGGCACTCTTATTCCAAAGTCTAATGATCCGTGAGTTCAACAATCATTTCTGTAATAACGTTATGGTTTCAATACCCCCAAAAATGGGTGGGAGGGAGAAAAGGAGGAGAGAACCAATGGTGAGGAAACTAAGCGGCTTATGGCAAAGATAAGGCTATTGCTGGTCTCATTTTAAATATCTATTCCAGGCTAATTGTTATTAAGCATCAAGGCTGTTACTAAAATTTGTCCTTTTGAGATGTAAGAAATAAGTAAGTTATTTCTCCTCAGTTCATAGAGGGTCTTTCCATATAGTGACAATATTGGCAAATTTAGTGATAATGCCAAATGCTATTTATGATGCTGACTGGTATACTCGATTTATGGGTATGGCAATTCTTTCAACTTAGGATTTGTGAGTATACGAAAATAGAATGTTCACATTTCCTGTGATCCCAAATTCTGGAGACATACAAGTAAAAAATGGAATTTCAAAAGCTTGATGATTAATGTTAACCAAGTTTTATGTCGAACACACACAATGTCAGTCAAACATATTGTTTGAGGTTATAAATCTCAAGAAATAATTAATCAAGGTGTTAATTTAGAATGTTGACTGTTTCTTCAAAAAACATAAAAACATGATATGTAGTCTTAATAATGATTTGAAAATGTTTTGTTCAAACTGAGAACTGACCTCTAAATACTGGAAATTATCCATTACCCAAAAATGACAATGTTTGATAAAGTGACATTTATGAGATCTGAAAGCACTTTTCCCTTAAATCCAAATTTGCTAATTCACTTGGACAAGTCACAATTTTTGATAGAAGGGGATATAACATTTATCCTCATGTGCAAGCTACACAGTGAAGGTGTCCAGAGTAGAATGGCAGAAAGATCACAGAATGGACTGTCAGAGAGTTCAGTCCTTGTCTAGGCTCTACTAAAAACTCTTCAAATCTTTTAAAGTTTCTAAGCATGTGACTCTTTCCATTAGCTGAAGAAAATACTTGTCTTCTCCATATGACTAGGTTTTTATAAAAATCATATCAAATAAGGTGTATGAGAATACTTGGTAGATTATAAAGTTTGTATGAGGGCATTATTGCTCCACATTTTTATAAAAGCTTTGATTATCTAAAAACTCTTTCTGGGGTGGAGAACCTACAGCCTAGGGGCTACATGAGGCCTTCTGGATCCTTGAGTGTGGCCTTTTGGCTGAATCCAAATTTTAAGAACGAATCCTTTTAATATTACTAATGTAATACTGAAATTTGGATTCAGTCTAGGGGCTGCACTCAAGAATCTGGAGGCCTACATGTGACCTTAAGACCACATGTTCCCCATCCCCAGCTGGATGGCCAACTTTTCCTGTAAACATTTCAAGTTTTGTGAGCCACACAGTTTTTACAATTATTTAACTCTGCCCTTGTAGCACAAAAGCAGATGCAGACAATATGTAAATTAATGAGTATTTCAAAGGTGGCTAGAGTTATCCACTTCATCTATTCCTCTGTTCAAGATTTTCTTCCCATGAGAAGAAATGAAATAAAATTAAGAGTCCATAAGGCTCCTGCTACCTCAGAGTCCACCACACTTTTCAGTTGCAGATACTTTCTTCGTTTAACAAAAGTAGCCCATCTTTCCCTACCTTTCCTACTTTCACCTCCCCACCCATCCCCCTCATCCTGTGAGGAGAATGAAACCAATGGCCATTACAGCCCCAGAGAACAGGTGAAGTATTTTCAAACTTGAGACAGACATTAACAATGATTTGGTGCTCTTCAAGAGAAGACAGCTCTTATCCAGGCCCTAGTAAGCATTGTCACCTGCTGGTAGAAAAATGGATTATCCTCATCTTTGTTACTGCTAATGGCATTGTCACCTAACCTGATCTTCCAATGAGACATATATAAATCAGATCTTTTATAAGCTGTATTTTCTCACTTGTAACTCTTAACAAATATATATTAAGTTCAATATAGTTCACATAGATCAGATAAACCAAATATATATGCAATGTATTTCACATAGATCACATAAACCAAAAATACATGTAGGAAAATTTAACATGTCTCAACCTGCTTACTTTATGCTATATTAAAAATATCTCAAGACTCTAAATTGAAAATTCATCAAGGTTTTTCAACAACTCTGATTAACATTTAGCAATTAGTTTGACTTCACTCTCTACACGTATTATTAATTCTCATACAGTATTGCATTCATGGATGTTTCCGATGTCAAAATCTGTAGCCTGTGCCAGAATTCTTTATCTTTAATTTCTCCTGCCTTAAACATAAGCTTTCATAAAATCATTTTTCTATGCTATAGCCTAGTAGGCTATCTAGTAATGTTTAATTGTATTTATTTGTCTTAAGATCTTTTAAAAATAGTTATCTATATTGAGCTTTTAAAAAAGTATTGGTGCTGTTTGTGCAGAAAGATTGGCCATATGGTTTTAGAAAGTTTGCTTTTTTACATAAAGCGATGTTGCCAAAGTCTGATTTGTTTCACAATCACTCAGGATCACTATTCAGGAGGGACTTTATTTTTTTTCTTAGAAACATAAAAGCAACCTTATTAGAAAGTAGGTTAAAAGATTGGTACACTTGAAATGATCTTAAAAAATTTAGGCTTAAGTCCTCAGTAATGTACATTTCCTAGTTCATTAATGCAGAAATACTGCACATAGATTTTAATCTTGGAGTTAATAATAAAAGCAATTTTCACTAAAAATATAAAAACTGTAATGGTAGAATCATGATATTGCATTTAGCTCTCCCACAAAAAGTCACTTTATTACTTTCTTTTGACACTTATTTTCATTCTGGGATTAATTTTACTATATAAGGGCTTCTTAACTATTCTATTAAAATTTCTATTCAGAAGCAATAATATCTAAGAGTGAATAATAGTCATGTAAATCATTATTTCATATTAATGTAAAAGATTTTGTAAGTTCTTATGAATTCTGCTGACATGCACAATTGTGAAAAGGTTATCTCTCCGTTCTACAGTGATATGCGCTGGAACAAAGGAACCATTCTAAAAGCATCAGTGGAGTACATCAAGTGGCTACAAAAAGAACAACAGAGAGCCCGAGAATTAGAACACAGACAGAAGAAATTAGAGCAGGCTAACAGGCGACTTCTACTACGAATTCAGGTTTTTATAAAAATGTTGCCATGAGCTCACATAGCTTACTTACATATGACTTACCTGTCATCAGTTTTATTCATTGGTCTCATTTATTATTTTTCTTATTAATAATCATTTTTCCTTCTGAAGGGTAACTTTATTGCCTTTTATAAGCTCATGAATTGGATTGTTTCACTTAGGTTTTGGGTAGAAATCCAGAATTAAGATGACATACACACACACACACACACACACACACACACACACACACACATATATAATTTCATGAACACATGTTAATTATCACAATCAAAAAAATAATGCTAAGTAGAATATTTGTTTCTGTAGTTTATACTGGACACTAAATTGTCCTCTCCCTCTTTTATTTCTTTATGAAAATTGCTGTGGATTTCATTGCCTCAAGACACATTGTAGCAGTGTATATTAAGTTACTTTTTATCAGTTCATATGACACAAAATATCATAATATTGGCTTTTATAACTCTCAGTTGTTTTTTTTTAATGTGAGCATGCTTATAGCCAGGTAAGGCACATTGTTTCCACGAAGTAGTCCTAAAATATGGTGATAAATTTATCAGGAAGAATAAATGGAAGATTTTCTACTATCTCCCAATGGCTATTTTGTAGTCTGAGACACTATGGGACCATCATATGTCATGAATTTCTTTATCGAAAATGAGGTGAGAATTAAACAAAAAATCTGAATAATTTTCTCAGGGTTATTTTTCAGGCATTAGAAATTCACTGATTATGTTATTTTCAAAGATTATTTATAATTTGTATAACTTTTCATTTTAAATGCTTGTTAATATTTTGGTTCTATTTCTGGTTTATTCTCTAAATTAAGTGCATTTCAAAGACATTATTTAATAATTCTTGTTTGAAATTGCAGGAACTAGAAATACAGGCTCGTGCTCATGGTCTGCCAATCCTAGCTTCACTTGGCACAGTTGATTTAGGTGCTCATGTCACCAAACAACAGAGCCATCCTGAGCAGAATTCAGTAGACTATTGCCAACAGCCGACTCTGTCTCAGGGGCCAAGCCCAGAGCTCTGTGATCAAGCTATGGCCTTCTCTGATCCTTTGTCACACTTCACAGATTTATCATTTAGTGCTGCTTTGAAAGAGGAACAAAGACTGGATGACATGCTATTGGATGACACAGTATCTCCGTTTGGAACAGATCCTCTGCTATCTGCCACTTCCCCTGCAGTTTCCAAAGAGAGCAGTAGGAGAAGTAGCTTTAGCTCAGATGATGGTGATGAGTTATAAGAAATAAACAGGCTCTGTTCATCAACTGGGAAACAGTTCGACGCTGGTGCTATGCAGTTATGTTCTGTGTTACACATTTTGCTTTGGCTTAATTTTTCCAAAAGAAGTATGTCATTCATGAAAAACTGATTGATTAGAAGCAACAGAAGCATTTGCAGGAAGAAAAAACATGGTATTAATTATTAAGAGCTAAAAAATTTATTTTCCTTTTGGACTACAGAGTTTAAATCCACTTAAATTTTGGTTTCCTGGAAAGAGGTACAGCATAAGAAATACCTCTTTATTGATGTTTTTAAAGTAGCAACTTAGCTGTGTACTATTGGAAAACAACTGCAAAGTGTAAATCATCTGAAACATACAAACCTTCCCTTAGTCTTTCACTTCCATCCTCTCTTTAACTCTCACAACATCAGTTTTCAAGAATCTTGATCAACATACCTCGTGGCCTCTGCCTTTCTCCATTTTCTGGTGGACACATAAGTTCAACCCTTCTAGAGGAAATAATTCCAAAGTAGGTTATCTGTCATTTATAACTGAAAAGTGAATTTACAATAAACATGAGAATTTTCCATAATGCAATACAGAAAATTTACAAAAACATTGTTTACTAAAATTAGATCCTCATTCCTTTAGTTGGTTCCATTATGCTGATTCTAAAAGCATCTCTGCATATTTATATATCCATGTTTGGTTCCAAAAGAAGAACGCATTAAATGTTTTTCTCAGGAATGTACTCTAGAATTTTATTCCTTCACACAAACATACACTCACACACATGCACACAGAATGTTCTTTCTTTTTCTTCATTCTTCTTATAATATAATAAGCATTAGAAGCATGTTCCAAATCCTCTTTTATTCATCAAGAAAAGATGTGAGATAATCAATTTCAGTAAACAAAATATTCAAAGGTCCTCCTACTATGACAATTTTTGAGGTGTTTAAAACTTCTCATCATGTCCTATATTGGATATAGACTAATTAATTGTTGGTACACTTTTTGCTCCAATTTGACAAAATATTGACAATGGTATTGCCAACTGACAAAATCATTAGTAAAACAGAAACTATTTCCTATTACATTCAGTTCTGCATGGAGGATAAAGTTCAACCTACAATTCTGAGTAGAGAATAATGTTCTATTCCCATAAGTGCTTAGTACTTGCTCTGTGATCTTTGGTTGCTTTGTAAGCACTGATTGTAAACATTTATATCTATGATGCTTCACTAAGATTTTTATCTCTTAAGCTTGTTTTATGTTTGGGAATTGAGTTAGTAAGCATGTTGCTCTATGCTCGACCTCCATGAATGCTCATCCAATTGATGAGTATTTATGGAGGGATACGGGATACTCAGAATTGCAGTGTGTCCTGTGAAAATGTGCAACAGATGAGCAAGATTTGGTCTTACTCCTAAGGAGTTAACAAGACTACATGAGAAACAACAACAACAAAGCATAGAAGACATATAAAGTTGGAATTTAAGATTAAGTTATAAATACAGAAGGTTGAAGATTATGAAAATGAAAGACAAAGTCTATGGGGACAACAAAATTTAACTTCTCTTTTAGAGGCATACATTAGGTGAAAAGAAGGGCATATAAAGGAATAATATTAACCAAATGATAAAGGTGAGAAAAAGTTGGAGAAATATCTTCATGGGGCATTCAATAGAAAGATCTGGGGCCCTAGAAAATACCTGTTGAGGTATTCTGGAAAATGATATTGGCAACATGTTGTGGAGGCCCTTGAAAACTAGGGTGAAATCATATAGTAGAAATTAAATTTTTTACCAGAAGGGAGAAGCCTAAAAATAAGATATAATAATAACTTGATTATGATGTAATTGTTATTAATATTAAATTTGGGGATAAATTGTTGAAGAGGCCTTTTAGGTATTTCTCACATGGAAAATATGTCATCACAAAATTTGAAACCCTAATGTTGTTAAAAGTGGAGGAATTGTAAATCCTTATGGCCTACTTATTATCTCATGCTTAGTTTGTATTGTTAGCTCAGACTTTGGAGAATTAACATGATTTTCATTGTTTGACATGGAAAAATAATTACTAATTTCTAGGAATAGTCATTAAAGCCAGATAGGTAAAGTCATCTGAAATTAGCCATGTGAAACAGAAGAATTAGATACACTTTCTCAATAATTTTCAAGAGGAAATTATATACTTTGAACGTATTGCAAAATTCCACTTTACTATCTGAGTTGAAAATTTGATTTAACATTGCTAATCATAGAGAAGGAATATATTTTAGGATTCATGGAAAACACACCATTCTAGATAGAGACTGATTTCTGTTCTCATTTTGTTCACTGTTCTCATTTCTTCATATTCTGAGAAGACTTTCACTGATGATGTCATTACTTTGTTATCATTTTCCATGCTGTTAAAGTATTACTACTTGGCCCTGAAACCTATTTCTAATAATCTTGGCTGACAAATAACTTGGAATAGGATGTTGCAGATTGGACACGAGATCTGGATAGGGGACTAATAATTGCTGCTACATTCAGATTATGAGATGTCAGGGAATCATAAAATGGGTAATGGATTTTTAAAGAGTAAAGAGTGGTACTGTGTCCCAGTCAACTGAAATACATTAAAAATTAATTAGATAGACAGTAGTTATTAATTTTTTAAGCATGATATCCTGAGAATCTAGTCAAAGTTATAGACTGTCTCCCTAGAAAAAATGCAAAACAATATGTATAGACAATAATTTGCATGCCTCCAGAGGTCTTAGGGGCCTCTGGAATGGATCCCAGGTGAAAAATTTTCATTTCAGGTCAGGAGGTCTGTTACTTTAATAGATAGTTCCTTAGCTATGTATCTATCAGGAAATAGGTGTTTGGTTAAATTCATATATAATGATAGAGGAGGGAGTCCTACTTGTCATTATAATTATCCCAATCCTAATAATGATAAAGTTGCATAGGAAAGTAAAAGTTTACCAAACACTAGATTATTTACTAAAAAAGCTATTCCCTTATAAAGTAGTCCCCTTCTGAACACCTCCTTCCCCCTCAACAAATTATACCTCCTGTGTATTATATACTTATGGGTCAGTTTCTCTATAATTATTGAATGCTGTAAATAAACATCTGACCATAACATTTTGAAATGATGCAAATAAATTTCAAAGTTAAAATACTGTAAATTTAGAAGCCAATTTATATATCTAAAAATCAAGATAGACCCTTAGGATAATTGACGAATACCTAGAATACTTTTGCATAAATGAAACTTCTCACAACAGTAAAAGAGGTATATTGTTCATCAAACAATTTTGTCACGAAAAGCATCAACTATTTCAGGAATATTAATACACAATTAACCAAGCATTATTCATTCAAAAAATAATGCATAATTGCAATTGTAATAAAAATTCATTAAAAGTAAGATAAAATCATTTTATTATTTTTAGCTGTCTTTTCAAGATAATGCCCTATCCAATCTTTTTCTCTATTTATTATAAAATGTTGGCTGCTTATTGGTGGATTCACATTAAGCAGCCTTTTCCAACTCCCAACTATCTTAAACTAATGAACACCTCCTGTCTCTTTATGTTTTTTTTTTTTCATTTTAGTGTTATTTCTTCTTGAACTTTTCTTATATCTGCTGGATAATACATGTACAGACCATATTTCTTCAACTTACAGAAGTGTCAGTGACCATATATTTCTTTCTGTAGGTAACAAGTACTAAATAACAAATAGCCAGATAAACTGGGGACATTGAGAAATAGCCTTCCTCTTTCTTCTTTTTCAAGTCATTTTTTCCCACCCAAATGACTATAAATCAAATATGTAATAATTCTTACTTAAAAAGAGTAGACACAACAAAATTGTTAATATGATGTGCTCATTTACCATAATTTCAGGGAGAAGTAGATTTCATAACGTAAAATGTTTACTTTATTTTCACTTTTACTTTAATGGACTGAGTTATATTGGAATTTTCTTATGCTTAAAAGTATCATGAAATTTTTTTTTCTGTTCTGATATTGTGAAATTTAAATATTCAAATAAATAAATGAAATTACTAAGGGCTCAATGTTTTTTTACAATGTCTCTGGCTTTGTAAAAACATTTTAGGTATTTACTGATCATCTGATATCTAAAATGTGAGTAAAAACTGGAATCAATCATTTTGATGTGTTATCAGTGCTAGATCAACCATCTGGGTTCCTTAAAAACACCTGAAGGATTGAATTTTGCTTTAGTATTGATAATGGCACAATCCATATGTGTAACATGGAATTACATCATTTGTTCCTCTAATGTCCCTCATGTTGATAAGTATGTCAATTTGAGTTAGTGTAAGTTACATAGACAGAGATTTAATTACATTTACTTAATAAATACTAAACACATTTGGAGTGTTGCTGATCTCATGAGTCATATGACCCTCTTGAAATCATTGTTCATTGGTATTCTAATATTTTATTATTTGATTATTTATGATTTTTAATTTGAAAACAAGGAAACTTGACAAAAATAGCCTTTCTTAAAAGTTTTTGTGCTACATTTCATTTCCCTGTGAGGTTTATAGAGAATTTGAGTATATAAGAGATTATAAGAAAACAGTTATTTTGATTTAGGAAAAAAGTCTTCCCCAGAATTCAATCTATTTAATGATGAAACACAATTGTCTACTGCTTTATATACAAAAGGGAACTTTTTATCTTCTTGTAAAGGGATTTATATGTGTATTTCTACATAATCAGATGATTTCTATTGTGCTTTCTACTGATGAAATCCTATATAAAATGTCTTTTTCCTACATTATCCAACAGGCTTAAAGAATACAATTAAAGACTCTTGTGTTTGCAACACTACCTCTTCTATTCCTGTGCTACCTTTTATTTTAATAATTCTATATTTTGAACTTTATTTTTTCCACAGAAATAAATCTGGTCTGTGTGTGATTTAAGATGGTAGTTATATATAACCAACAAAATATACAAAAGGATGGGGAGACTACTATATTGCTAAAAGAATTATATAAATCAGGAAGTTACATATTGTTCTTTAAAACATGACCATTGATGTTTAAAAGCAGCTAAATTCAAGGATCTTATCTAACAGCGTAGCAGTTGCTTATGGCATACAAGGCTAAAATTAATTCAGCTATTTAATCTTAATAATAACAATGTAGTTAAAAATCTTTCACTTTAATAGCATTTTATATATATGAATGGCTGAAGTAACATTCCTATAATTTTAATCTAACATTGGTTAGATCATGAAAACATTGTTAATGTAATAAGACTGTAGAATTTGTAATTATTGCTATTTTTCATTTTTAATAACAAAGTAATGTGTCTTATTTTCTAAGAAAATGAAGAACATTGGTGTACTTTAATACATACATGAATCTTTGTATAAATACCTGAAATGTACTAATATTTTCTTTGCATATATTAAATTAAAATATATAATTATTAAATGTTTTAATATATTTTTGGTCTTTGCATATAGACTGCACTGGAAAATACAGAATGTAGGTTAATCATCTGAAAGGATACTTAACAGTCTCGAGACTTCACAACTGACAACTGCTTACTACATAGTTCATGCTGAAAATGATCATTCAATATTTCACTATTAATGAAAGTAATTGTTACATTCTTTAATATGGTCTCCTTCCATCTGCTTACCCATGCTGTTATGGCTTTGATTTATGGAAAATATTTAACAGAATGTTCCAAATTGCTAACAGGCATAATGGTAGCAGTGAAATCACCAAGAAACTCTACAGAAACTTTTAATATCCTAGATGGTCTAGGGACCATCTAGGATAAATAGAACACTGTACTTTAATATGTAAAACATTTTAAAGCTATTAATTGGTATTGACTTATCCTTTGATAATGAAATTAATAAGAATCTCAGTTGTGTTAAGACTTTGTAATATTTAACACCATGGTTATGGATTTTTCCCCTATACACCTTGTTTAAAATGATAAACAGTACTACCCAGAGTTAACCATAAAGGATGATATTCTATGTTCAAATATAGGTTCATTGCTTTTTAAATAAGTAATAACAGGTGACTATTTTTCTTAAAGCATTATCAATGGCAAAAATACTGAACAACATAATAATTTCTTTGTGGAAAACAAACCAATTTAATGCAGGTAAAAATAAGTCAGGATGATTTTTTAACACTATATAGACTAAAAGATGGATGATTGGATCTGACACTTGAATGTTTATTGCATGTATATGTACACCCGTGGTGTTTTGAGGGTATACACACATGTGTGTCCATGTGGGAGCTTATAAATAAAGTTTTCTAATCTCTTGATATTAGTACTCTGCATATAAGAGTATGTTATTCTTTATTGGAATATACATCTAGAAAATATTAAAGCTATCCCCAAATTTCTTCTATTAGGAATACACATATGCACACTCATATCCCTTACTTTGACTTGAGTTAAAAAGATGACAAAATGAAGAAAGTTGTAATAGGTTTTAATTTTTTTGGTAAAATAAATGATAACTATAAAACAACTATAGAAAGCAACTATAAAACATTAAGACATAACACAAGCATTGATATAATTGACCACCAAAAGGAAGATTAAAATTCACCTAAAAAGTTGTTGTTATTACCTTCAGAGTTCTAGCTATGTGGTGGTAAAGTGGTAAAATACAATAAGGTTTATTGGTTAAGTAATGGATACCCATCATGTTAAATATATATCAGTTTCATTAATTGGAAACCATAAGACAAGAGTATAACACTTGAGATGGTGATGATTTTGATAGGATCGACCACATTGTGGTTAAGTATATGATTCACGTAATAAGAAAAAGGTGCCTGCAGGCTATTGTTCCTAGCATGGATTAAAATTTACATATTGCTTCTCCTTATGTCAAAACATCTGGTGCCTGCAAATGCTAACATTTCGTTAAAAAGTTTCACAAGCCAGGAAAAGTGGATTGGAAACATTGCATGAGAATCATTCAAGCATTATAATAGAATAAGAGCTATGTTCAGAAAAAATTAAATTGCTGCAAAACAACATTATAGTGAAGATTATAATTTATTTGCTTACACAAGTGAAAAAGTGATATTGTGTGTATGTGTAGAGAAAAATAGCTTTTGAATTATATGGTTATGTCTTCAAAAAGACTTATTTCTTATAATTATATGGAACAAGTAGGCCTCTAAGTTCTTCAAGACTTTGCAATCACTTCAACAGTGTTAGAAGCAGTATGTAGTTGTATAAAACCCATTATGATATTCCTGAGGACAGGAAATAGGAGATACCTGAGATATTATGCATTCTGGCATTAAATTTCTATTTATTCATTGGTAAATATAAAAAATATATTTGAGATATAGATGGATTACCTTTTATACACAGGTCCCCAGGTCAATAAAGGTCCCCTCAAAATTCCCATCCTAGTCTGGTCATCTGCTCTTTAACAAGGCTACACAAGATTTTCCTACTTTTAAGGCCTTCCTTCACTATACCAGTCAACAGTTATCACATAGTCCTTCTATTTATAGCTATACCAGCCAGCTGGTATTTAAATTCTATCTTTGTATTGTTGTTTATCTTTGCATTGCTGTCTAATGCATAGATTACCTTCCTCACTAGGTGGATGGGCACTGAAAGCAAAAAATATACCTTAGCTTTCTATATATCCTATGTCACTTAACATAGTATCTTGCTTAACATGCTATTTCATTAATAAATAATTCATGGATGGCTAAGTATACATAAGAAAAGTATGGAAGTGTCAAATTCTTTAGATAATGAAAGGATGCTCACTCAAGGCTATGACCATTTCACTGAAATGTCTGCCTTTCAATCTTTCTTTGCAATTGTTTTAATTGAGTATGCTTAATACAGATAAGTATTTTTGTCTTCTTTTGGATTACCTATGACTTTAAAAAATGAAAATGATAAATTTTGCAACAATAGATGTAGAGAAAACTTGTGTTCTAGAATCATTCATTTATTCATTCATTATTTCTTTCATAAGCCTCCCCCCAAGGAACAATGGTTGTTGCTGAGGAGAACATAAAAGATGAAAGTCACTGAAGTCTTTCAATAAAGTGTAGTAAGTGCAGGCAGAATTAAGTGTGGTGTGGAAGTCAACATCAAGCCAGCTGTATTTATTTTTTATTTCAGCATATTATGGGGCTACACCAGGCCATCTGAACCAGTCTTAGGGAAACTGAGACATTAAGGCAGAGTGGGAGCTGTCCTAGTGCTGAAGAGGCAAGAGTGAGATGGGGAGGAGTCCTTTAGGCACAGGCAACCAGTTACTGTTGCACATTCAGGCATTTCAGTAATGCTTTGGACACCCTGGGATATAATCCTTTGAGGTTTCAGAAAATTTGGAATTTTTTTTTGGAATAATAAGTCTTAAACACTTCTCTTATCAGGTTGTTCAGGAAAGGGGCACTTGGCCAGAGTACCCTTGTGTCACTTCTCCTAGGCCCAGAGTGAGAGGGCATATATGTCAGTGAGTATGTGTGTGTCTGTGCATGTGTGTTTGTGTGTGTGTGCAGGAATAGGAAGAGGAGGAAAGAGAAGGATGCTGATGAGGCAAACCTTATCAAATAGCTCCAGCATTACTTGTTTCCCTCCTCAGACAGGAGATAAGGGCATTTTTCATTTCTTATTAGTATTAAACATATAGTAAACCCTATGCTTACAGCTAGCAGTTGCCCTTTTCAAGTACTTCTCCCACATGGTCTATGAATTTGCAACAGTACCTAATCACACTTTGCCTCTTCTCACTAATAGTCTACATGTATCATTTAGGAATCGTAGTGTGAAAAGAATCTACATAAGTAGAAAAGTATACTATGTCCTTGGATGGGAAGACTCAACATAACAAAGGTATCAGTTCTTCCTATGTTAATTTATAACTTTTGTGGATGCCAATAGAAATAACAATAGGTTTTTGTAAACCAGACAAATTGTTATTAAACCTTACAAAGAAATATAAATAAATATGAGAAGAGGGAAACATCTGAAAAAGAAGAGAAATGAGAAAAAACAAATGCTACCAGAAGTTAAAACATATATTCATGTCTCATTAATAAAAACTCTGTGGTATGGGAAATGAATAAACAGACGGTCCTTAGGACTTAAATAAGCCCAAATACAAACTGGAATTAAACATAAAGGAAGCATTTCAAACCAGCATAGAAGAGACTATTCTATAAATGGTGTTGGAATTATACCAAATAACCAATATAAGACTTCACTGTACATCTGTGAAATGAAATACTATGTTCCGGAAATGAAAAATAAAGAAAAAGAGCACTTTATGTTCTAATATGGAAAGTTCCCTATGAGTTGTTTTGTATTTAGCAATATTTGGTATAGAACTGCATATAGGATGTTCTATTTGGGGTGATGAAACTTGAGAGATAGGAATATGTATTTATATTTGCTATATATGTACAAATAAACTGTGGAAAGATATATAAGAACCTAATAACTATGTTGCTGGGGAAGCAGAGATGGGAACATTTTTACTAAGTACTCTTTTATTCTTTTTTCCCCCAACTTTTGAAGCATATGACTGTATTATTTAAGGGAAAAAATTAAGATGCATAGTGTGTTTACATTAATGGTTTTTGTTTTAGTTGTCTCCTTTCCAAGTATCTTTGTTCACCCATAGCACTTTCTGCAGTGCTGGCTTTGAAGTCCCAAAGTGACAATTTTAATTTTCTTGCTTCAAGACAAGAAAGGGAGAGAAAAATGAAACAGAGATGCAATATTTGCACTTGTATTTTTTAGAAGTAACTAGATCTCCATCCTAATATGAGTATTATCTTTAAGAGCCTTGTGGTAGGCAGAATAATGGCCTCCCAAAGGTGTCCACATCCTAACTCCTGGAACCTGTAAATATGTTATCTTACATGGCAAAAGGGACTTTTTAGACATGTTTAAATTAAGAATTGTAAAATAGGAGATTACTCCGTATTATCCAGGTGGGCTCAATCTAATCCCATGGGACTTTAACATCAGAGAACCTTTCACAACTGTGGCCAGAAGTGTGACTTTATCATTGTCTTGATACTCATCATTCAACTAAGATGGGAATAATTGTATGACTTGTCTCATACAACAAATCTCAGCTCAAAAGGGAGGAATGACCAGCCTTAAGTCACATTACTTAGATCTCAACTTCTAGCTCTAAGTTATTTGTACTTTTTACCACAGAAGATATGTTCATATTCTGTGTTAGGCATTGCTATAGGTACAGGAAAATGGCAGTAAATAAAACCAAGACTTTGCCTTCACTTAGCTTACATTTAAATAGGAAAGATAGATAATAAATAAATAAAAAGATTAATAAATGATAATCAGTAGTAATATTAGTACTGAATTACTTTTGGAACTTTGTTGACAGTCAATTGTCCATATGTTTGTGAGTATATTCCTGGACTCTCTATTCTGGTC